GTTCTATTGGTTTGTTAAGGTGCTTCTGTTCAGCCCAAACGTTTCTGGTTTAAGGTTGTTCTTTACATCCACTCTTCCAGCTGCTGGTTGGGATTTTTTCAAAACTGCAGGAACCTAAGCAAGACAATACAAAACAGCCTGTGATTACACGAGAAGCTGCTCTATATGCAGCAGAAGGAAATAAATCTTCACAGAGGCCCGAACTCTGATTCTTCTTAATTTTCAGGACACTGTCTCTGGCTTCCCCATCCTTAATCCCTTTCAGTGTATTTCTCCAATCCAGAGTCAGTATGTGCTGGAGCTGGTTCTGAGCAACACTTGTGCAAAATCCTGTTGGCTGTAGCCATAGTCAGCAATCCAGAACACACTCCTTCTATCTGCCTTAGTGACAAGGGAGGGGAGGGAGGAAAGGGGAGTTTATCTGTGAATCCCTTTCTTTTGTCACTTGTAGCAATTCAACACTTGAATCCACTGGTACTTCCCTGTTACAAATACTAGTGCAGAACAGAGGTGGACAATACAGTCCCAAAAGCCCTGGGAGGAAACAGTAGTCACCAGGGAAAATAACCCGTGCAAAATCTTTCTAATCTGAGATGGTCTCCTTGGAAATCTTCATACAGCTTGGTACAATGGGGCTCTAAAAATGCCATCAGCATCAATGGCAAAGACAACCAGTGTGCAAGTGATGAGCTATTACAAAGTTTGGATTGGGAGTCAGGACATCACAACCATGGCATCACTCTCTGGGGAGTTGTTACAGCTAGTACCTGTTCTCATCGTCCTTTTACCTGCTTTCTTTTTACAAGACAGGGACTACAGATCCAGAGTCAGCTGAGAAGGCAAATTAGGGCTGTTTCTACCATTAGCCTCAGCTTCCCTCGCGCTGCCAGGCTAAAGTAAATACAGCATGTCTCAAGGAACAGCCTGCAGCTTTGCTTCTGCCAACAGTGAGCAGTATCTTACTGATCAGGTCTATCTTTGCCAGTGCTGGGGCTTCCCATCTCATTCAACCCAGGTAGGGAGAACCTCCTCCTTTGCCTAGGAGCAGACTCTGAGCTGAATTCCCCCTGCTCTGTGGCCCTCCCCTCCACAGTGGCTTCTTTCCTGCTTTAGGAATGGACTGTATGTGCAGAGTGTGAAGCAGAAACCGAGCCAGCCATACGTACTTGAGGAGGTAGTGGAGGTTCTAGGTGCCGCCCAAGGAAGGAAAGCAAGCGTCGCCATATCAGACCGCTTCCCAGAAACATAATCCCTGTCACCAGCCAAAATATCCTGGGGTCCTACCAACAGAACATTCCCATTAGTCATAAAACTCTCTCTTCAGAAAAGGGATTATCCAGAGACAATCTTGCACTCCTCACCAGAATTCTCCTCCTCCGTGGGAGGAAGTGGTAAACTCTCTACCACCAACAGCCAAGCCCTACCTTGGGAAAAGGGCTGTTTCATAGCAAAGCATTTTACTTAGGAATCACCCTCATACATTCTGCTACTGTCTCATGCAGTTTTTCCTTCCTTCATCAGGAAGTTTGAAAATTTAACCCTTCTATTTAATGGATTTGAAAAGAGCCTTTCCTTTGTTTAGTTTTGCTTGTTTGATTTAAAGATAGCATGTGCAGTTGTAAACTTGTACCCCTCCCAGGTGTAAACATGTAATTGACAGCAGAGTATTTCCTCTGGTGTGCTGGAAATGCCCCGGCTGCTTGACAGACACCCGTGTATCTGGAAGACAAAGCCGGTCTTTTCGGAAGAACAGATGATCATTACAGAAACCTTAATACTGCTTTATAGCCAGTCCTTATACAACCATAAATTGTCTTCCAGATTCTTTTCCACAGATATGACATAGAAAAAAGGCTGCTAAACTGTGGAGTTAGTCACACAGTAATTTGCCTACAAGAAATGTGACAGCATGAACACATGAATCACTGGAATAAATTATATTCACGCACTAATATAAAACCTTTACCTGTGGAAAGAATTAAGTTGTACTGAACATAAAATACACTATAAAAGTAGGGTCCATGTACTACGTCACTGATAAAAGCAATACTTGTTCCTTACCTCTTCAAGAGATGACTCCAAGTTCATACCAAATGCAACTCCTATGAGTCCAAAGAGAGAGAGTGAAAAAGTCCCCATAGTCAGCTGCAAATTCAGTCTCATCATCACATTACGGTGGCTAAAGAAGGGAGAAACATCTGTAAGGGGAACCCAAGTACTGATTTGCTGCCCAAATTCTCACATTCCATATAGTATGCACTAAAACCAAGCACTGAGAGGAAGTCATGCTGCAATTAGACAATCCAGTGAGAAAGCTTATGAAACTACAGTATAAAGTCAGCTTCACTCACTTCTTAGAGGCGTATATACACAGAGTAATAGTAAATTTTCACAGAAATTCCTGTTTTCTCACCTTTAACTGGCTGGAATTTATATGTCCATATTCGCAAGAAATAAAAATTTACTGGTGCCTTGCAAATGAATACCCCTACAAAGAAGTAGAGTCAGTAAATGCCACAGACTACAAAGCTGAGCCTGTTTTGGAGAATTCCATGTTCAGATCTTTCCCAAATGGATTTTTGTGGTTTCCCGATGCAGCATCCACCAATTGCTTTATACAGGTAGCTCCCCAGTAAGGAGGAGAAAGAGTATTCAATGCTAACCTCAAAGACAGAATGGCAGGTGCTTACAAATTCAAGCTATAATTATTTTTCAGTAAGAAAGCTGACTAGGAGTGAAAACTGCAGCATACAGAGCAAGACAAAAATACTTACTCCAAAGTTATTGTATCACCCCACAGAGTGATAATGCAACTTGTGTTACCCAGCCAGACATAAGTAATTTAGGTTTCCTGAACTAAAAGTAAACTTTCCTGAGTAGACTTTTATTTTGCCCCTAAATTTGCAGGGATTTCCTTTAGCGTATAGCTCCCCAGAAGGATCTAGGAGAACCTTGGTTTCTTCTGCTAAGGAAAATTGATGCATACCTAGCTAAGGAGCTTTTCATACATACTAGTTAGGGTGTCTTGTTGCTTTGCTTCATCCAGTTCACTTGAAAGAAAAGCACAATGCAGCTTCTTGTGCTGTGACTGCAAGTGTGTTCAAACCCCCATGAAGACCCTCCCAACTGTCCTTGTAGGCAGATTTGAGGAAGACTAGGCAGCATTAAATTCTGCCCGGCTGTTGGCAGTCCAGAAGATAGGGTCGCTAACCTGTCTAGGTTGATAAAGATTATGCTTTCTGAGTCATCAATCAACAGTCTGAGTTCACGAGCTTCATTTGCAAGATCTTCTGCTTGTCTGTAATAGTTCTCCAGCAGCAGCTCCATTTCCTCTGCATGGTCAATCCCAGATATACTCTCCTCACTGTGAGCAACAATTTATATTTTTCTGGTTAGCTGTATACTATATAGCTTGTATACTGTATACAGCATACAATCTGTATATACAATACAGTGCATTACTGATGTGTTAAGACAAGGCACATAGAGTTGTAGAGAACAGACAAGAAGAGTGCTGTTAGACACTAGATATCAAAATCCAGTATTTTCAGTGAGGAACTTCCATCAGTACCAAGTGCTTCAAATAAAAGGCGTATGTGTATATCTATCAGCAGTTAAGTAAAACAGTTAGTACTTGATGTGCTCAAGACATGCACAACACTACAAATCTTACTTGTTCTGGTATTAAAAAGCTATAAAGTCACATTGATTTTATTACCGTGTTCATATGTTTATTATTATATATTTTACTATAAAATGCTGACAGTTTCGAAAGGATATGCTTAATTTCGTGGTGCCCTCAAGTGGTGGAACCTGGTAACAGTGTAGTCAAAAACTCCAAGAATAAAACAACCACAAGTCAACACACAAACAATTACAGAGCGAGGGAGATGCTTTAGAGGTGTATTAAAATAGTTTAGTTGTAAGGTGTTTCAGTTGTACACAGTGATTACTGCATGTTCTGGAGCATGAAAAAGATGAAGAATGAGCATCAAATGGAAGATGCTCCTCTCCTAAATGAAGTCTGTCTGAGAGACTTTAATCTTATTTCATGGTCCAACTGCTGGTGCAGCAGCCTTCTCTGAACAGCTATGTATGTTTCTGGTGGTGTGCTGGACTGCTGTGTAGATGAAAGCAGAGGCACCTGAGATTCCCAAGAGCTTGGAAACTAGAAGCAAACCCAGGAAGATTCTTCATATTTTTTCTTTGTGGTATAACCTCACTTTTATAGAGAGACTGAACTTTTTTAAGAATCTCCTCACGTTTCTGACTGTTAAAAGAACCTCTCTGAAATGGTTTTCCAAGAAAATAAGTGACATGTCTTAAGAATCAACACAGGTAAGCTCCCTGAGGAGCTTTAACAGAGCCCCTAGTTTCTGTCTTACAGGGCAGAAACTTTGAGTTAGCTAGGCTGATTTTAGAGCCCTTCAGACCTTGAGGTTTTTATTGCATGCAGATGAGAGAAGTTGCAGACTTAAAAGCCTTAGAGCAGTATCTGCTGTATTACAGATTCAGCTCAAGGTCTTACTTGATGACTATCTTTACATTGGCTTCTCTGTGGATATACGAAGAGAAACAACAGGCATACGGACTTGGAAATAACTGCCTCTATCTGTCTCACGAGTCTCCAAGAGTCTGCCATGCCTTCGCACACAGATACAATGCCTGTATCATCTT